CTGTTTCTTTCACCAGGTAGGGGAAGATTTCTTTCATTATTTCTTCAAATAGGTTTTCAATATCTTGCTCTCTCTCTTCTTCTGGCACCCCTATAATTCAGATGTTGGTACACTTGAAGCTGTCCCAGAGGCTCCTTACACTATCTTCGTATTTTTGGATTATTTTTTCATTTTGCTTTTCCAGTTGGGTGTTTTTTGCTTCTTCGCATTTCAAATCTTTGACTTGATTCTTGCACTCCTCTGGCCTGCTGTTGGGAGTCTGTATAGTATTCTTTATTTCAGTCAGTGTATGCTTAATTTCTAGTTGGTTCTTTATCACAACATAGAGGGTCTCATTAGATTTCTTGAGGATCTCACTACATTTATCGGCAGTTTCTAGCAAATTATTGAAAGACCTTAGAAGTGCGTTTTTTAGCTCTATATCCTCCACTTCTGTCATGTTTCTTTGTCTCCACATTATTTATGCTTTCTTGGTGCACCCCCTTGTGGTCTTTGTGCGCAGTCTTGTTGTAGTTAAGCCTTGATTGTTGTCGGCAATACCGGGGGTGATTTGACCTCCAGGCTAACTTGCTATAAGAGTCCCATAAAATTATTTTCATTGCTACTTCATAACTGTAATTATGCTACTGCTATGAATCGTAATGTAAATATCTGATATACAGGATGTATTTTCATTGTTCGAGACCCACAGGTTGAGAACCGCTTTTTGTTTGGAATGTGAATGATATATTACATATAAGGGATGTAGTAACTAGAGAATCTTAAGGCTGAAGGAATTGGGGGTGGAGGAGATGTATAGAGAACTAAAAAAGGGCATTAATAAGAGTTAGAATAGACATCTGTATATTTTGATACTAAAGAACATGTCAATATATTAAAAATTACAAGCAAATTAACATCAATTTATTTGAGTCTCTATTCCTTCAAGATTAAGGGAATTACTCTGACCACACAGCTAGTTAAATGGCAGAAATGGGGTTCAAGAACAGTCTATTATCTTGAACAAGTTACTTAACATTACCAAGCCTCAGCTTCCTCATCAATAAAATGGGAATAATAGCTACCTTACTATTGAACCCTGTGGTAAGAACTCGGTATTAGTTATCTTTGCTCCATCTCTAGGTAGCAACCTGTCATTTACATCAATATCTCCTTCCATGGGTCTAAAGTCTAACATTAGCGATCAGGTACTTGGTAATTATTTATTAATTGACAGTTAGAATCAACTTCAGGCTGAAAACTCCTTATCAGGATAGTAATGATAATTAATATTAATATTTACTATCAATATCTCCTTCCATGGGTCTAAAGTCTAACATTAGCGATCAGGTACTTGATAAATATTTATTAATTGACAGTTATAATCAACTTCAGGCTGAAAACTCCTTATCAGGATAGTAATGATAATTAATATTAATATTTACTGCAGATTTTGTGCTCAGAAGTATTTTACAAGCACTATCTTATTTAATACTCATAACTTTATGGTGTACATACTATTACTTCATGAGTAATAAAAATGAGGCTCTAAGTACTTTAATAATTTGCTCAAGACTAGAAAAGTGGTAAATTGAGGAGCCAGAATTTAAATCTAGGATTTAAATCTTTAAAGCCCACTCTTTTATCCACTCCCCAACACTATATGGTGTTTATCTTTATTTTCTATCCAATTAATAATTTTCTTTTCTTTTTTTCTTTTTTTTTTTTTTTTAATATATTTTATTGATTTTTCACAGAGAGGAAGAGAGAGAGATAGAGAGTTAGAAACATCGATCAGCCGCCTCCTGCACACTCCCCACTGGGGATGCGCCCGCAACCCAGGTACATGCCCTTGACCGGAATCGAACCTGGGACCCTTCAGTCCGCAGGCCGATGCTCTATCCACTGAGCCAAACCGGTTTCGGCAATAATTTTCTTTTTATATCACCAGCTTAATCAAGTCATTTATGAAGCAACACAAGTCTAATTTAAGCTGAAAGAGTTATTAGCTGGTACATTTTTTAAAAATACATTTTTATTGATTTCAGAGAGGAAAGGAGAGGGATAGAAAGAAACATCAATGATGAGAGAGTCTCAATGATTGGCTCCCTACTGGGGATTGAGCCGCAACCCAGGCATGAGCCCTGACTGGGAATCGAACCGTGACCACCTGGTTCACTGAGGCACACCGGCTGGACAGTGGGCACATTTTTAAAACAATTTTCAAACTACCTAATTCCATTTCCTCTCCTCTCACCTTTTCTAATTTAGATGAATACTTAGTACTGCCATTAAGAAAAAATAAAATTCCACCACAGAGAAGTTTCCCCCCAAAGGTTGTCAAACACACTTATGCTTTTAGAAAGGTAATTATGCACCAGCAAAACATGTTAGAAATTATCAAAATTAAGTAGAATGTGTTCTAAAAATAGTAAAGTTAAAGACTATGAGTACCAAAAAGACAATATTTTTAAAAAATTTTATTGAATTTATTGAGGTGACATTGGTTAATAAAATTATATAGGTTTCAAGTGTACAATGCTACTAGGTGTACCAGTTAATAATGGCGGATTTTGTAATCAAGAGAAACACCAAAGTGCTTTATTCAAAGTAATGTCCATCACTAGCTACACATTTCCCTCATCTTTCAGGTAATTTGT